GTCCCAGCTATTTGGGAGGCTGAGGCAAAAGAATCACCTAAGCCCAAGAGCTGGAGGTTGCTGTGAGCTGTGGTGCCATGGCACTCTGCCAAGGGTGACAAAGTAAGACCCTGTCTCTAAAAAAAAAGAGAGAGAGAGAGAGAGGGCAGCACCTGTGGCTCAGTGAGTAGGGCACTGGCACTATATACAGAGGGTAGCGGATTCAAACATGGCTCAGCCAAATTGCAAAAAAAGTAGCCAGGCGTTGTGGTAGGCACCTGTGGTCCCAGCTACTCAGGAGGCTCAGGCAAGAGAATCGCCTAAGCCCAAGAGCTGGAGGTTGCTGTCAGCTGTGATGTCACTGCACTCTACTGAGGGTGACAAAAGTGAGACTCTGTCTCAAAAAAAAAAAAAAAAGACAGAGAGAAGGTTTGTAATTTTAGGCATGGACAAACTCAGAGTTTCAGATGACCATATGAGGCAGCCCAGTACAGTGGATGGAGCAAACATAGCATCAGTTTATTAAGTTCAGAAGTTTCGATTACTTTTGGAAAAGCAGTCTACCATATAGGGAAGGGTTGCCCACGTGCATCCCGGAGCAAGTTGCTTAAGCTGTCTGAGTCTGAGTCTTTGTTTCCCATGTGTAGAATCAGGATAATGTCACCACATGATAATATTGGGATGATTCAAATGAAGTCATAACAGGCAAGGCATTTAACAAGTGAATGATATTAAAACGTTTTCAGCATTTGTTAGATTCCTTTTCTTTTCTTTTTTTCCTAAATCACGTTGTTTTCCTTCCTGCTTAAGGAAAACAGTTTTAACTGCCCTTTATACACCCAACAATGTTAAAGGATACTATATTTACAAGTGATAAAATAAAGAGCCCTCAAATGACAGGGGCATTCTCATAAGGCATTTACTTATTCATTCATGTGACAGGTGCTGAGCTAGCTCCAGTTTGGTGCCAGGTAATAAGCTATACAGCATGCATGTATGAAGAGGAATCAAATACGTTAACGTCCTTATCATGAAGTAATTCACAACCTGTTGGGGGGGGAGATTTGAACTTGATGCCTAAGTGCGTAAGACAGTACTACGTGTAAGAAGTGCTGCACAAGTGGTATGAAGAAACGTTAATCAAACATAAATAAGGAAGCCATGTTTCTAGACTGAGTCATCAGAAAATAATTCATGAGAGCATCACTGTATTCTCTGGTCTTTGAAAGGTGCATAAAACTTTATGAAGTTGAGTCATCCCCCAAAGACATGTGTGAATGGAAAAGCAAATGAAAGGCAGAGCCTCTTTGCGGACTGGCAATTCGTCTCACTTAGGGTGAGTCTGGGGTCCGTTTCAGGGAATAGCAACAGGACACTACATTCTATTATGATACGCTGAGAAGTTTTCAGGGCTCTTTTGTTTGTTTCATTTAATTTTTTCCTTGGCAGACAATGGAAGCCATGGAAGGAATGTATGGAGTGGAAGGCCATTATTTAACTTGTTTTAGGAAGAAATCCTGCAAGCAGGTTACATAAGAATCTGGAACACGCTACATACAGAAAGACTTGTTATGAATCAGTTTTGATGGCTCAGGCGTGGGGTCACAGAGAAGAGACAATGACTGTTGAAAATGGAGGGTAGCCAGTGACTGAAGAGAGATTGTGAAAAAAAAAAAAAATCAACGGGATACGGAAACGTATTAGTTGAGAAAGATCATATATTGGGCAGAAAGGCCCCACAGATTCTGAAACACAGTGATTTGGGGGAAGAAAGCAATGAAAGATTGGCACAGACAGGACTTAGTTATGAGAGGAAAGCAGCTATATGAGGATAGCATCTCCCTATGCAGTGAAAGGTGTGATTGAAGCCGGCAGGAGCTTCACCGAGTGTTACAACTGGGAGGATAAGGATCAAGAGCACAGAACTCGGAAATGAGACCTCCCTGAGTCCACATTCTGGCTCGCCCATGTGCTAGCTGTGTGACTTCTAGCTAGCTACTTTATCTCTCCAAGCCTTAGTTCTCTCATCAGTAAATTAAAGAACATTATTATGAGAGGCATGAAAATAGTATCCACTCCATGGCTTGAACAGTTGGCATTCATTGTAAAGTGGACAGTTTTATACTTATTCTAGAAAAATTGAGAGATGTACAGGACCATAGGGAGAACATGAAGTAAGTAGAAGGACTCAACTATTCATATATTCATTTGACTAAATTGCATTGATTGAGTGCCTACTAGGTGCCTACTATGTGCCAGGCACAGTTCTGTGTATTGGATGATGCAAAGTGATCAAATCAGGCAAAATCTATGCCCTTGTAGAGATTATATTAAAATATAGGGATCAAATAATTATAAATAAATACAAGAGTAAACAGTAAGATAGTGATATGCATTAACAAAGAAAGATGAAACTGAATGAAGAGGCAGAGAGTAACCAGAGATGATACGTTGGGCAGTGGTCAGGGGAGACTATTTATGAAGATGGCAGCTGAACAAAGACCTGATTGAATGGGGATAAGCCATGTAAACATCTATGAGAAGAGATTTCTGACAGAACTGCAAGTCCCTGAGTTGAGATGTGCTTATTGTCCATGGAACAGAGAGATAGTTACATGGCAGTAAAGGTTTAGAGAGAGGAGTAGAAGAGAAGTGAGGGGTGAGGCCAGAGGCAGGATTACAAGGGACATGAAAACTTCTTAGATTTTGTTCTACTTGTGTTAGAAAATCCCAGAGGAGTAACATGATCTAATTTATATATTACAAGACTGCTGTGTAGGGCCAAGAGCTAAAGAAGACAGACTCACTACAAGCTTACAGCTGCAGGCTGGTAACTGGTAAGGCGCGGTGGTGGCACCGACGGGGCAAACCAGTGAAGAAGAAGACAGTGGTCAGATCTGGAGCTCAAAAGCAGCAACTCTAGGATTTCAGAAAAGACTGAATTTGGGCTATGAGGAAATCAGAATGAAGAATCATGAAACTAGAGTTTCTAACCAGAGTAAACAGATGAACGGTGGTACCATCTTTTGATATAAGAAATGCAGAGAAATGATCTGGTTTAAAGCTGGGGAGAGAAAATTTTGGAAAAGTAAGATTTTGGTTTGAACATAGGTGATGCGCCTTTTAAATAGCCATTTAGAGAAGATAGATTGACAGCTGATGTAAAAATTGATGTGGCTTCTGGGAGGAGATTAGGCTATGGAATCAGTGGGGAGCCTAAGGCCATCTGTAGCAGACATTGTTGGCTAAGATGCCCATGTAGACAGAGGGAGAAGAAGCCTGAAGACTGAGCCCTGGGGTACCCTCTGACTCTTAGAGATGAGGGAGAGGAAGGGAAATAAGTAAAGGATACTCAGGAGGGGCAGCCAGAAAACCTGGGGCATTTAGGAGCCAATAAACCCAGAGAAAGGAAGCATTTCAGGAAAAAGGTAAGAGCCTATGCCAAGCCTTGCTGAAAGTCTGAAATTTGGCAATGTGGAGACTGCTGATAACCTTGGTTTCAGTGGAGAGGGACTATAAATATATATTTTTAAATAATGAGAAAGATAACAAAATAGAAGAAAGTGAGTATAGACAACTTTTTACTTTTTTCAGTGAAAAGGGGGGGTGTTTAGATGGACAGGGAAGTGGTATCAAGTGAGTATGTTTTAAAGTAAGAGTTAAGACAGAATGCTAATTGTTGGTACACTTATTACAGTGATCAGGAGGAAAGAAATTGGTGGAGTGGGACAGAAACTCTAGTTTCAGAAAGAGGTGATTACAGAAGAAGAGCCCCTCAGTGGGTGGGCAGGGTGGTAACCAGATCCTCACGGAGCAGCACACAGAGCAATGGGCCCAATGGGAGGACAGAATGTCATTTTCTGAATGCTTCCCATGTCTTGGTGATATAAGAAGAGAGATTATTAGCGAAGAGTAGGGAAAGAAGAGAGGCATCGATGTTTGGAAATAAGAATACATCTAAGGCATTCATCTTACAAAGCAAAACATTAGGGAAGTACAGTGACATTTCCAGGCAGATGACTGCTCCCCTTGGACATGAGGTCATAAATACCCAGTAAGTTGGCTGTTCTGTTTTTCCCTAGATGCAGTTAGTTGTTAGGGAACAGAGTTGGAATTGCTGGAGCTGCTGATTTAATCAGAGCTGAGATTTTTTTTCAGGGAAGTAAGATGGAGAAAGAGGGCTAAGGAGATGAGACTGAAGATTATAAATGACGATGGATCTTGAGTTTGGAAGTGAGGACAGGAAGGTGATGAGGGACAGAGGGAAGGTGACAGTTAATGGATTGGAGGCCTTAGTGCAAATGAAGAATTGTTGGCAAGAGGGCAATAAAATATAAGCAAGAAACTAATAATAAGAGAATACAGAGAAGGATGATAGAAACTGACATTTCGTATTGGTTTGGTATGACATAGAATTATGAATTAGGGTGGGAAAGACCCAAAATCATTGCAGGTAACGTAAAGGAACCAACAGTCCAGAGTATCAGATGGATTATCTTCATGAATGCTGTAATTACCAAGATTGATCTTAGAGATAATTGGAAAGGAAGTGATCCCCAGGCACTAATTTTGTCAGTGAATGTGGGAGGATGACAGAAAACTTCAATAAGGAGGGGCTAGTTCAGTGAGTACCTGGCAACACCTGCTCCTAGGGAATTAGGTTGTTCAAGAGTAAAAACTGGACTTATCAAAAAGTAAAAAGAAAAATTAAAAGTCATAAAATGCTCATTAGAACAAAATTAACATGTGACAGAAATTTCAGAAATTTCCAATTTATTAAAGATGTAGCCATCTGCTTTCCAACAGACCACTAGACATGTATGAAAATACAGCAGAGAGGAAGGACTCTGACTTCTAATTACACGTGATGTTGTTTTAGTTGTTCTTCATCATTTCCGCTTGCCCAGAGAGGTCAAGGAAAACTGTAATTATTTTAGTAGTTTGATATTTTATAGAAAAGATGCAGAAAGCATTTCATTTCTTCATAGAAAGAATGAAATTGCAGCACCATCTGGACTCACCAGGATTGCTGGACTGTGCGTCCATGGGGATCATAAGCTTGGCCCGGGTGGCCCGGCGTGCAGCCAGGGACCTCTCCAGGGTGGACATGGAGCTCCCTGCCTCCTCAGTGTCCTGACCTGAAACAGAAAGACAACTCATGAGAAACCCCTCCTCTTCAGTGATGTCACACCTTAGATACAGTCAGGCATTTGAATGTCTTTTTATTCTTCAATGCATTCAGTTGTTAGGACATGGGGTTGGAATTGTTGGATGTTTTAAATGATAATATCTACTTCCTTATTTCCCAAATTACATAACTTCATTGTACAAGTAGTAATATAATTAAGTATAACCTCATCACTCAGAAAAAAATGTTGTTTATATGTTGATGCTTATATAGTTTACAAGTGTATGAATATGTGAAAGTGAAGAGTATATATTACTATATTTATTTTTAAAAAATAGCATTATGCCATACAAACTATATTGTCACTGGCTTAAAAGTTAACACAAACATCTTTCCTTGTCCATTAATGTTGGTAACAATTTTTAACAGCTATATAATAATCCATTCTATTAATTTACTACAATTTATAAAGCTAACACTTTAGGTCCAAAGACATTAAATCTTATTACAAGAAAAGGAAATAAATTACATTCTTCAAAAATAAGAAGGGGCATATTTATATGAATTTATGATTTCATAAAAATACCATGCTAAAAAGTCACTAAACATAAGGATATAAGTGATGTAGATATGCAGATTTGAATAACAATATATGCTGAGAAAAATAAAAGTTCTGAATAGCATGAACCATATATGTCAACTTGTGTAATATACATATTAAAAGCATATTGTGCATGGACACATGTACATGTACATGCATGTGAATGTATGTATTCATATATATCTTTTCTTTGTGTAAGAAAGTTAGTTGCAAAATTATTAACATGGCATTTCTGTTGTGAAAGGGATTAAGAATTTGGACTGAAGAAGAGCGAAATATATTTTTTACCATTTGGGTTAATATTTCCATCAACTTTTTGCTTTTTTCAAAAGTTTTTGCTTACTTTTTAACACATGCATTTATTCTTTTTAAAATTATCATCGTAGTTCATACAATTTAAAACTAAAAACAACTCTGGAAGAAGTTTCCATATGGGTGTGATAATGGTAGCTTCCCAAACCTGATTCTGTCCATACATTTTCCAAAAATATGCAACCATATTAGATAAATAAAATTATGCAAATCCTTCTGGATCCAGCACAGCCAGAAAACAGGACAAATTCAAATTATGAAATACTTGTAAGTACAAAAATAAATAATACTTTCCAGCAAAACTATTGGTCAAGCTATAGCTATAAAAAAGTCTTTGTAGAAAGTGGGATGTCTGGAAGAACTGAACAGAAGAAACAAGAGGGGAATAAAGAACCCAAGACTGACCTTTTAAAAATCATCCACAAAAAAAGAAAGTTCAGCCCAGTGGTACAGATACTAAAGAAGCTTCTTAGGAGACCAGAGCATTGCAAAGTATGTAGGTTTTAAAGTGCCAGCATCAGAAACGCATCAGTTTGGGGGAGCAGGGGCAAAATAAAGAGATTCTTTTCTATAGAAAATGTAGTATCCAAAATGTTGATAAAAAGGAAAAATAGTATGGGACTAAAAAACATTGAAAGAATTAAAGGCAGAAAATTTCCTGAATTTGTCAAAAGACACAAGTAAATCTATAGATTCAAGAAATTCAGCAAACTCAGGATAAAACCGAAGAAATCCATGCCAGACGTGGTTCAACTTCCAGAAATTAAGTGACCACAACAAATCTTAACAATCCTGTGAGGAAAATAACCTTTTAGTAAGGTAAAACAATTAGAATGACAACAGATTTCTCATCAGAAAACATAGGGGCCAGAAGTAAATGACACACTTTCCAAGCACTGAGAAAGAACTTGCAATCCGGAGTTGGCTTAAAAATCTACTTCAAGAATGGAGGAAAAATTAAGTGATTCCCCAATGAAGGTAAACACAGAGAATTTATCTCTAGCAGACCAACCCTCAAAAAATACTAAAGGAATTTTTACCTAAACAGGACATGATATAAAGGAACGTGCATAATTAAAAAGGAAGAATAAACAACAGAAGAGGGAAAGGATCAATAAATATGATAGCCCTTCCTCCTTTACAGTTTTCAAAATTACATTTGACAGTAAAAGGAAAAATTAGATCACTACCTTACGTAGCTCCTAATAAAAAAGTAAGTCTAGATTCAGCTAGACTAGGGGTCACACTTTTCTAATAAGCCATTTGATATTGTTGGGTGTCTATGTCTGTGTGTTTTGAGTTTGCAATTACTTTCTTTTTTTTTTTGAAACAGAGTCCCTCTTTGTCACCCGTGGTAGAGTGCCATGGTGTTGTAGCTCAAGCAATCCTCTTGCCTCAACCTCCTGAGTGGCTGGGACTACAAGAACCTGCCACAACACTTGGCTAGTTTTTAGAGACAGGGTCTCACTTTTGCTCAGGCTGGATTCAAACTCCTGAACTCAAGCAATCTACCCTCCTTGGCCTCCCAGAGTGCTGGATTATGGTTGTGAGCCACTGGGCTTAGCCTGTAATTACTTTTTAATATTAAAAGTGGACTGTGCTGGGTATTACAGGGGTTCAGTGAGAACTTGAACATAATTGTTTTTCTATTACTTTTATTGAACATAAAACTTTTTGGTAGTATCACTTGGTGGTTTGACCACCTGACATTATTCATCATTGGTCCAAACACGGTTGGGAAATTTAAATAAAATACTTAACAAAGATGTAAATAATTCAAACAGGTGAGTATTCAATCAAGTTGGCTATTAGGTGTTCTGTAGTCCTTTCAAAAGTGTTATTCACTTCATTAAAATTCTTTTTTTAATTGAATACCACCAAATTTCATAATGCTGAAATTTACTTCTTCATCCTTTATGAGTAAAAGTAAGACACCAACCCTGTGGCTTTGCTGTAGTGGAATTATACTATAGAATAAATTCATTTTATGAACGCAAATTCTATTTGTAAGTCATGGAGATTGAATAGACCTGAACACCGGCCTTTCTCTGTTGTTAATTATTAAGTGAAGAAAAGGATTTTGAAATCTGGTAGATGTAGAAAAGATGTGTCATGAAGAAAAGACCTTTATCACCTTAATTCCTACATATTTTAGTTGAATGCTCTATGTGGGTGGTTAGGGAATAAGGCAGGTTTCATTTAAGCAGCTTAGATACTAGAAGTTGGAAAGGATGAGCAAAAGCAATACGGAACTTTCATTTGATGAGATTTTTGTTGTTAGCTATTGCTTAATTCAACTGTCTTTTCCATACCTAAGGTAGAAGTATTGTAAATTAATTTCTAGTTTTATCCAAAGAGCTAATTTCATGAGCAGAAAATAGGATAAGTGCTTATATAAAAGTATTACATAAATTAATTGGAATTAGATCACCAAAGCATGAATATTGGATTTGGATGGATTTTTGGTCTTGGCTGGCTGATGTTGGCTCTGAAATTTGGGCCTATTGCTTAGCCCTTCTTAACTTTAGTTACTTCATTTATCATATGAAAAGAATGATGGCACCTACCTCAAAATATTTTGCGAGAGTATTACATAAGACAATGTATACAAGTGCTGATCACTGAACTCAACATAGAGTAATTTGTCCTTAAAAAGTTCTTGCCTACTTGGAAGTCCTTTGTTAAATACAACGCTTTTTGGTAATGCTGTGCACTAGTGGAGAGTTTTGTTCTTTTAACAAGGAAGACTCAAAGAACACAGGTAATGTAAAGTATAACTTATGGGATTTTGAGAGCTACCTTCCCTGTTATTACAAAACTGGCAACGTGTTCCTCCAGCTTGGGAAAAATGGGCAGAAATACCCTCGTGTCCTACAGAAAAGAGCCATCATTTGCTAGGGAACTTTCCCCTAGCACTTGCTTAGAGACATCAAAACTGATATGGCCACCCCCCTAATGTCATCTCAGTGTGTAAAAGATGAAGAAAAAGGCAAAAAGTAGGTGTCCCAGACTCATTTGGCAAAATCTTCTGAGGGCAGAGAGGCAATTCTGTCTCCTCTGGTGGTCGCAGAGCTCTTCTCCCCTTCCTGACATCCAGCCAAGAACAAGACTGCCAGAAGAATCGCCTATAAAATGTAACGAGGGGCATCCAACCTGCGGCTGTGGGCGGCATGCTGATTTTGTGAGGACATTTTTGCTTATTAGTAGTGGTGGATATAACAAAATCTATGCACAAACTTTTTTTTAATTGCTAATCAGACTTTATTAGTGTTTGCGTATTTAATATGTGGTCCAAGACAACTCTTCTTCTTTCAATGTGTGGCCAAGAAAAAAGAAAAAAAAAGGTTGGACACTCCCAATTGTAGAGGCGATTTGTTTTTCATTCATTCCGCAGTAGAAAAGCCTGTTCAGGCAGCCTGCATGCTGGCTAACTCTATGTCCATCTCAGCAGAGGAAAAGGCAACCGGCAACCTCGCAGGGCTGCGAGAGGGCCAGTGCTGGAGTCCATGCTCTCTCACCACTGGGCCTGGTAAGGATGGAGGGGATCTTACAAGCCAAGTGGACACGTGTGGAGAGTTGGTTAGGTTTGAGTCCTCTGGATGGAATTTTCTCAAGTGTAGTGACTGACCAGAGACCCCATGAGATAACAAGTGGGAAGGTGTTAAGCCCTGACTTGGTGACTCACATCATGGAACTGAGCAATGGAGGAATCCCACAGGGTCCCATAAAGAATTCATGCTTGAGTTTCATAAGAGACCCAGAATATGGATGGCACACAGAGGCCTGCCTGTGTGTCCAGAAAAGCAGTGAAGAACTTCAAACAGTCCTTTCTCCCCTCTCTCCTTCCCTCCCCTCCCCTCCCCACCACCCCCTCCGACTCTCCCCACAGGCCCAGAGTGAGTGGAGAGGAAGGGAAGACGCACAGGTGCTTCTGAAGCAGACTGGCCTCCATCTTCTCCTGTCCCACTACTCCATTTCACTCTGAGACACTGGAAGAATTAAAAAACAAACTATGACAATCCTCCAGAGCCCAAAGCCAAAATCCAGCTGGCCAAAAGGAAGGAGAATCACTAATTAAATTTCAGAGTATAGATTTCAGCAGAACTAGACTGCCCTTTAATAACTGAAAGTTATTCAATATGCTTCCAGGGATTATAAAAAAAGAGAAAACAAGTAACCGAAAGTGACAGAAAAGTCAGAAAATCTGTCTAAGGTATCAATTAAGGGCTAGAAAAAACAAATTCAACAACTCGTGGTTGAAAATAAGAAACCGAGTTCATTTTTATGTAATTCTGAGCTGACAGAGTACAGAAAACCAGTTACACATTCAAATAACTAAAATATTTTAATGAAATTTGAAAACAGCAGCTCCTCATTCTGTAATCACATGATGATCAGACCAAGGATTTTTTTAAATGAGTATTTAGTTGATTATTCTGTTTCCTATACGCACTTGGATAATATGAGTAATATGAGGACCCACAGAAGGTGTAGTATCTTATAAGCCCTTTCTGATCCCAGGACCAGTGGCTTTCTGCACCAACTTATTGACTAGTAGGTTTTTTGCTTTACATCCTTTCGTATAACAACACAGCTTTCAAACAGACTCCATCAGGATAAGCTGAGGATTACATACGGGGATTGTATGGCTGCAATGAGGGTTGATTGTGTCAGTAATCAAAGACAAACTAACAGAGTATTCAGGTTTTTTTACATCTCAAGTGTCCCGATCTGATGTTCTAAAATAAAGAATTGATAGCAAATAGGGACTTAAGAAACATATTGGCTTCAAATTGTATTGCCCTAAAAAACCTTTCGTTTAAGATTTAAACAAAAAGCAATCACTTCTTGTAGGCTTCACATTTCAATATTTCCCACCTGCATTGCTTTGAAGTTTCAAGAACAGTCAAATTATAAAAGGCAGGTAATAAGTAGGATAACGGAGAAGAGAGACATAGAACCGTTAATGAATCAAGTGTGCAGTAGATTATTTTACTTATTGCTACAGGACCCCCAATGAGATTCAAGTTAGTGGAAAGATACCACTGCAGGAGGAGGGGGACACTCTTGTGGGGTTCACAGCGGGTGTTCTCTGATGCCAGAGAGCAGATAAGTACCTGAATGAGAGGTGCTTTTGCTTCCCAGTTGGGTTTCTGACTGGCTGTGGCTGACTGGTGTGAGGTCTTGGCAACTCTGAATGGGAGAGTCCCTTCCTGCGGGGTCAGTGCCTGAGGGCTTCTCGATATTTTTCATCTCCATTTCTTCATGATGGATCCAAAGATCAGGAGGTCGGAGGTCCTTCTGGCTGCCCTTCCTTTTGCCGATGCTGTGGGTGGCCCGTTTCCTGTGGAACAAAGTTAGAAGGTGAACGTGAGAGCCTCTATTCACCTCCTCGATTTCCTCAGTCAATTCAACTCAGAAGCGGGGAAGGAAACAAAAGGACTCCCAGGAGGAGCCCTGTGAAACCCTGGAATTGGCAGACTGGTCTTGGCTGCCTTTCTTCTTCTCCCCTGGAGCTTCACCGCTTTACAGGAGACGTGCTGCAGAATCCCCAGGGCCCCAGCTGCCTGCCAGAGAGCTCCTTCCTGCAGCTTCCCTGGCTGCTGATTCGCTGGGCAGGGGACAGTGGGTCAGATGGAGCCATATGCCAATCTTTGGAGCCAGGCATAAGATACCTGACTGCAACATCTGTTTAGGAGATAAATGAAGGAGTTGCTTCAAAAGGGCAAAGAAGAGCAGAATATGTGCCAACAGCTAAGATTGGGGCTTAGAAGAAAGCCTATAGCTCAGCTGTATAATTTAGCGTGCAATTGGGAAGCTTGCTGTTTGAAAATAAAGGCCGCTGGAAGATATTCTTAGGAGAATAAAACACTTTTGCCTTGGAGTCAGTATCTAGATTCAAACATAGCGAGACCATCCTTTGAAATGAGAACTGTTTGAAAATGTGTCTCACATGCCTATTATTTGCCTCGATCAGGATTCAGCAACCACACATTTTGGTTTGGGCCGTAATCTCTTCTTGGGGCTAGTGAGATTCCAAGCTCCCTAAGTGTATGCTGAGTAAAGTGGCATGTGCTCCAAGTTAGCCTCTCTCTATGGCAGGGCCAGGAAACGATGGCTTGCAAGCCAAATCCACCCATGGCCTGGTTTTGTAAATATAGTTTTAGTAAAACATGAACCAGCTCATTCATTTTCTTAATGTAATGGCAGAATTGAATAGTTATGCCGGAATAAATACGGCTTGAAAAGCCTAAACAACGTATTTTCAGGCCCTTTTCAGAAATGGTTCTTGACCCCTCCTCTATACCTTTTTTTTTAAACCCTTGCTCTACACTTTTTATCATCTTTTAAAAATCTCTGCTTGTAACTTCTATTTCTTTCAAAATAATGTCTACTGTAAGACAGAATGTAAATTGGTAAAATCAAGCTTTGCTAGAAGTCCAGAAAGCACTTCCTTCCCACTTCATTCATTTATAAGGAGCACTTTATTATGATAACTACATTCCACAGTTTCTTAATGGTTCAAGGGAGCTGCTCTCAGTGAAAATGCTTTTTTTCCTTTTTACTTAATTTTTAATTAAAATCATAACCGTGTACATTTATGGGGTACAACGTAATGATTTGATATACAACATGGAGTGCTTAAATCAAACTGATTAACATAACCATCACCTCACTTACTTATTTTCTGTGGTAAGACACTTAAAATTTACTCTTAGTTATTTTGAAATACTGGGAGGGAGTAATACTGGGAGGGAGGGGTGGTGGGATCCCGCCTAATGTGAAAATACTTCGTAACTTTTGCAAAGCTTTTGGGAGTGGCTTTGGTTCCCCAATTGCTGAATAAGCAGCTCTGTAACTATTCAGCAATTAATAAGTGTTTGGGGGTGTAATAATTTGTTGAATTTTCCCTAGCTTTTTTTTTCTTTTTTTGTCTTTTCCTGAAGCATGTCGATGAGGATAGAAGATAAAAAACTGTAGACTTAATATTTATTCTGTAGTTTAGTAGAGAAAACATTACAAAAATTAGCATTCTGCTGATGTCCTGACAGCAGCTCTATTCTTGTCTACCCTCTGAAATGACTCCTAGATCATTTTCCTTTGTCCAAGATAATAACTCACAGCCAATCCTCCTGCCCTGAGTTCCTGTCCGCACACCTCCCCTGCCCGCAGGACACTGATTTGCAGCTCACACTTTGCTCTTTATTTTCTCTACCCCTGGTTACTTCATAGAAGAGTTCAATGTCATTCTCAAACTTGGAGGCTTCACCATGCTAAACTATCTTTCCACCTGCTAAGATGCTACACAACTTAACCCCAGTATCCAGGGACTGCTCACAGGAAAGTGCCAGTTCCCACATCTAGGAAAACACAGTCAGATGCTTCAGAATAACTCAAGATATAAACAGCTTGTGGCAAAGAAAATAGCCAAACAATTTTTGAAACCAGTTATAAATTATGAACTGTGGTTTCCCCTTGATGATAACCATTTCCTTCCTCCCTCCCTCTCTGCCTCCCTCCCTCCTTCCCTCCTTCCCTCCTTCCTTCCTTCCTTCCTTCCTTCCTTCCTCTGCAAGTTCCTATGACTCCAGTACCAAGCATCACAAGCAGCTTCTATTTTTAAAATAGCCCCAAACCTGGGCCAAGGAAGAGTCCTTTTGTATAAACCACAGAGTTTGTGATTTATAACCTCCGTCAGGGAAGAAATTTCAATTCCTGATAAAAAGCATAGGCATTTTGCTGATGGGTTTTACTATATTGATACCACTCCTAAGTCACCAGCTGACTGTTGGTTAATAATCTAAAGATCTCCAAATAAACTGTATTTTCTTTTTATATATATTCTAGCAAATGACTTTGTAACTACTTTTATTTCCTGTGATATTTCTTATCAAGAGAGAAATTTTTGGCCTTGGAGAGGCCACCCTCAACCCCCTCATCTCTACCACAGCAGGTTTGTAATAAAACTGGCATATGCTCCTAACTAAATTGTCTGAAGTTTGTCTTAAAACCTACAGGAACAGCTGTCACCCTGACCTTCTGCCCATCTGTTGGTTGCTGACATGACTATAGCTCACTGTGGCCCACGGTTCTTCTATTTCACCATTGGAAATGTCCAAATTGGTATGCAGATGGACCTCAGTGCGGGGTGGTGGCCAACGTGTGCTGCAGCACCTGGGAACTTGTTAGAAATGCACCTTCTCAGGCTCCCCCTCAGAACACCTGGGGGGGAGTGGGGAGCAATCTGTGTTTCAACAGCCCTCCAGGTGACTCTGATGTGCCTGCAGTTTGAGAAGTCTTACTGAATATTTTTTAAATTTCAAAGCTAGTTTTTCTAGTAGATATAGAATATTTCACATGTTTAACTCCTCCCCAAATGCCAGATACATCTTTTCCCACAGGTACCAATCATCTTTCTGCTTCCAAAATAGTTTTAGAGCAGGAGGGTCTCTTCCCAGTCCATGGATTTTTAAATAAAGGCACAGCAAGACTTCTCTGAGGCTGTGCGCTCTCCGCTTCTCGTGTCAATGACAAAGCTTTCACAGCGTCATCAAGGACGAGTGTTCTAATTTTTGTTTCATTTATTTATATAGCTTCTGCCCAGATGCCTTCATGATCCTATATCCTTACAAGTTACTTATTTTTTCACGTGCTCTGCAAACCTCTCTCCTTCTGGGAGCCTTCCTGAACACTTTAAGGCAACATAATCTCAGAACACCTAAATCTTCCTTCATTTTTCTCTGTACCACACAGGCTGGTAATGACTGCCCTCTCACCGAGCTGTCCAGCTGCTCCTGTGTGATAATTCCTCCGGTGACACTGGAGCCAACTCCGTTTCCTTCACTGCTCTAACATCACCCATTGTTTTACAACATTGTCTTGTGCTACTTAGCCCATTTCTTGCCGCAAAGGTGAGTGGGGCACTGGGAGCTTGATCAGTGAATAAAAAGTGGTAGGGCTTCCAGGAGTTTCTGGAACTCAGCATGTGGTAAGGCTGAAAAGGCATTATGGAAGGGACCAGATCATGGGAGGCCCTGCCTCCAACAGAAACATTTTTAATAATATCACAAAGTCAGTGGGGAACTGCAGAAAGATTTTTTAGCTCAGGAGCTAATATAAATCAGATTTATTCCTTTGTATGATGCAGCTCACATACTAAGCATGCAAAGATTACTTGAATCGAATAGTAAGAATTTTCCATTACTGACATGGGCGTACTTTTTGAAAGCTTCTTCTCTGGGTTTTTATTAGTCCCCCTGTTCCTTATTTTATACATAACCTATTACCCTAAGGGGAATTTCTTGCTTTTTCACTTTTAATCAGTATGTTGGGGATGTGAACGGGTAAAAACCAACATTGCTTTAATGTCCATGTTATGAAACTTCCCCTGAAGTTTGAAAATACACCTAATCCTCTTATAGATTCTTTGGTCACATTGTAATACGTTAAGTTCCTCCTGTGTGCTTAGTATCCTCTGCTCAAGTTGCTCACAGGAGACAAACAAACAGTTCTGTACTAATTCCAGCAGCCAAAAGATATGCCCAAGAGCTCATGGAGATTGACACAGGAACATTCTGCCCCACTGAGGGTTTAGGAAAGGCTTTAGGACAGCGGTTCTCAGCCTGTGGGTCTCCTGTATATCAGATATTTACATTACCATTCATAACAGTAGCAAAATTACAGTTATGAAGTAGCAACTAAAATAATTTTATGGTTGGGGGTCACCACAACATGAGACTCTGTATTAAAAGGTTGGGGCATTAGGAAGGTTGAGAACCACTGCTTTAGGAAGTAAGGAGACTTAAAGTGAGGGTGAAGAAATGATTACCAGTGAATCAGGAAAAATTATATTGGGAAAGTATAAATATTTCCCTAAGGCTTTTAGCTTTTTAATTATCTAACTTGGTTATTTTTATTCTAGTAACTGCTGTTCAAAACAAAAACAAACAAACAAAAATTGTATTAGAAACCCAAGGCATATTTTAGATGCTCAAATGTCTCTCTATTTTCTGAAAGTGAATTAAGATGCATTGAAGTCTTTTGTAGTTGCCAGTTAAAATCTCAATGAGGTGAATCCCGAAAGGCAATTAACATGTTAAAAAGCTGAAAATAAGTGAAAGTGACCTAGAGCAGTTAAAATACAGTAGATTTCATTGAAGAGCTTAAAAAATTTATCCCAGTACTGAAAATAATTTTCATTTGTCAAGATTTGAAAGTGTGCTAATCTTCAAAACTAGCCATGCACATGTCGCTCAGAAGGCTTAGCTGACCATTCTATCAAGCGACTCTTGCAATTCGTTCACAATATAAATTTAATATATTCAGATAATACTGCTGATCATC